AACAGCAGAAGGCGCTTTACAGGATGCCCAGAGAGAACATGAGCTCGCCATGGATGGGTTCAGTTCGCGCAAACGGCTCGAACTTGAGACCGTGAGAGCTGATAGTAAGAAGAAACTAGAGAGCGTAATTGCGGAACATGAAGACCAGCTCTGCGAATTGAAACGGCGATTTGAGCGTGAAATGGACGACGAAAAGGCCTCGCGACTCCGCGAAATCAACCAACTCACATCGCAGACCGCCCTGGATGCGCAACGTTCCCAGATTGAGCTGGACAGAAAAGATCGGGAAATTGCTTCGCTCCAGAATGATGTGCAAGCCCTGCAACAAGAGATTGAGCGAGAGCGCAAGAGCACCCAGGGTCTCCGGAAGAACCTGGACACAGCCAGCAGCAATAGCGTAACTCTAGAGTCGTCGATTCGCGCGCTCAAGGCCCGAATCGAATTCTTGGAGTCCGGTCGTGAGGAGCAATCTCAAGCGTTTGAGCGGTTGAATCAGCAGATGATGGATGCTCTGGCCGAGACCAACGCCACCAAGGACAAGTTGCGGAAAGAAGAGACCCTCCGAAGGAAACTACACAACCAGGTTCAGGAGCTCAAGGGCAACATCCGGGTTTTTTGCCGTGTCCGACCCTCTTTAGAAACGGAGCCGCAGACGGGCATCGCTCAGATTCAATACCCTGATGCATCGGAAGAGTGCAAGGAGATCAATGTTTTGGGACAGGAAGAGAAGAGCAGCCTGGGCGCCATTACCAAGAAGAACAACAACTTCGCCTTTGACCGGGTATTCGGGCCGTCAACCCAGAATGCGGAGGTATTCGATGAGATTAGCCAGCTTGTCCAAAGTGCGCTTGATGGGTACAACGTGTGCATTTTCTGCTATGGACAGACCGGTAGTGGTAAGACCTACACTATGTCTTCGTTGGATGGCATGATTCCAAGGGCTGTGCACCAAATCTACGAGACTGCCACGAGTCTCAAAGAAAAGGGTTGGAAGTACACCATGGAAGGAAACTTCGTGGAGGTGTACAATGAAAATCTGAACGATCTTTTGGGCAAGGCGGAAGAGCTCGACAAGAAGAAGCACGAAATTCGGCATGACATGCAACGAGGCAAGACGATCATTACAGATGTTACCACTGTGCGCTTGGATTCGCCAGAGATGGTCGAAAGTATCCTCAAACGAGCCGCAGCCAATCGTTCGGTCGCTGCTACAAAGGCCAACGAGAGATCATCGCGGTCTCATTCCGTCTTCATCCTGAAGCTCATCGGCGAGAATGACATTACCGGCGAGCGCAGCGAGGGAACGCTCAACCTCGTGGACTTGGCCGGTAGTGAGCGACTGAGCCACAGCGGTGCAACCGGCGAGCGACTGCGGGAGACACAGAATATCAACCGCAGTCTGAGCTGCTTGGGTGATGTGATTGCCGCATTGGGACAGGGTAAGGACGGCGGACACATTCCCTATCGCAATAGCAAGGTAAGTTCCCCTGACTGTTCCGTTTGGAATCAAGGTACTAACGAGTTGCAGCTTACCTACCTCCTCCAATTCTCCCTGGGAGGGAATTCGAAGACGCTCATGTTTGTCATGGTCAGTCCGCTGCAGGCACACTTGGCCGAGACCTTGACTAGTCTCAAGTTCGCCACGAAGGTGCACAATACCCACATTGGGACAGCGAAGCGACAGGCGCGCGTTCGTGATTGTTAATGATACCTTGGATGGTGATTGGCGTTAGATATCCCTGCCTTTAAGCCGGTGTTTGGAGTTCATCGTTGAAGATACACCCCTTTTCTACTTCTTTTAGGAATACTGTTTCATGTAAGGACTTGTTTAGCTCTCTTAATCTCAAATTTCTTTCTACTGTGACTTTTCACGATATTCACATCTCGAGATCTCATAGACAGCAACTGTAGAGTGAATATGGACACTATTCACAGAGTCCCTGATATGTCTGGGTTGAATGAGTGTTTGTATCGTGGTGGCTCATGTGATGTGGATGATATCATATCTTTTGGCTTCGTAGCGATCTAGATGTGGTTTCTGATAACTTTTTATCGAGTGTTATCCTGCCATATGAGAAATTGAGGCATGTCTGGTACGACATAAGATAGTCGCGCTATGTAAAGTGCTATCTAATTACAGCTCGTAGGCCAGTCAATAGATAAGTTTAACTGGATGAACGACCGCCATCATTACAAAGTACCAAAGTACCGGTCAGCCCTCTCTGTCAACTTACGGGACTTCTCCTGAATACTGTCCTTCTCAAGGACTCCCTCTTCACAGATGAAGGCATCCACCATGTCCAGAGGAACCCATTCAAAGTAGTTGTTCTCCACCGTGACAGACGAATTCTCCTGCTCCGACTTTCTCCCTCTCATTCCATTCTCTAGCACCTGCACACCTTTGACACCGTCGCTGCGCCATGCACTTGACACCTCGAAGGAATCATTGCCCTCGGCGAGTTCGTCGTTGATTATCCCGGCCGTTCCATTGACCTTCTCAATGTCGCTAAGCACCACAACTCGCACGCTTGGGGTGACATGCTTCGCGCTGAGCACCAAAGGTAGAGATCCGGTTTTGTTGCTGACACCCTTGGTGGCGGAAATGCGGTCCGCACCGAGCAGGACGATATCGACGTCTTTGGCGGCCAGGGCAGCTGATGCATCAGTATACATCGTGATATGCAGACGCTTGTCGGGAGAATTTGACTGGGATTTGAATGTGGATAAGATAGACGAGGCGAGACTGGCGCCCTCGAAAAGCGGCCTTGACTCGAGGACCCGCAGTTCAAGTGTTTGGATCCCGAGCGCATCGTATGCTTCCAAAATACTGTCCCGGATAGTGGAACTGGAGGATATGGTGAGCATGGTAAGCCGATCCTTTTGTGTGCCACCGGACAAAAAGTGAGACTGAAGGTAGGAGATGAAGGATTGCTTGACCTGCTGTGCAGTATCGGCGCGATTCCTCAGGTGAAAGTCGATCAGAGCCAGGATCCGATCCCATTTTTGCTCGGCACCGGTTTTCTGCTCCATGATATCTTCTATCTCCGCTAAAACAGATAGAACGGCGTTCTGCGTGGCTGCACCCATGCTTTCCCGTCCGTTCTTGATGAGATGCCATGCCGCCATTCGAATCATGGCCCACCATTCTGCATCAAGGTGGGTTTGCGTGTACACGATAAAATCACGAAACACGGTGAGCGCTATCGCCGTCAACTCATGCGCGCCGCTCTCATGGTCCGCTCGCAGCCGTTCCAGACCAGTCGCAAGAGCCCTTCCTGCTCGCTCGTTGGTTGTACTCTCAAACCAGACTCTTTTTAAGCTATCTTGCAGACGCGGAACGGTGGTCAGGCTTTCGTCTTCGAGCACTGTACGCGGATCGTACCACTGCCACCCTTCATGTTCCCAGTCAGTCCGAATAGCCTCCTCCCCCTGTCCCCCTTCTGCCGGATCTTTGAGACGGAAAGCGAACGGATGAACGGTCCATTCTCTGCCGATAGACGGGTCACTGAAGGTGAATGGCTTGCCGGTGCGCCAGAAGCTGAGATCCGACGGGGTGAGGTTGGTTTCTTCGCACAATTCACGCCACGCCGCCGCGAGAGGGTTAGGATCATCAGGATCGATGCTACCGGAGATAGGGGCAAGGTGATGACTATATGTAGAAAGTCATATTACTATAGTCGTACTAGGCATGGTTGGTTTTGGAGTCGCATCATACCGGTACGTCCTCACTTTTTCGCTCCGCTTGAACAACGCTACGGACGGCTTGTTAGGCTGCCCCGGAGGAAAGCGAAAGATGAAGGAAGAGACGACGGCTCTCTTTATCATAGTATGAGATTGTTGGGTTCTCTGGGAGTCCTGTGCTTGGGTTGCCATTTCCTTGAGTGTCACGATCGGGTGTAGAATAAACTGAGCTACCCCGCAGTAGACAGTAAATCAATCGCAGACCTAAAGGCCATAGGGCGCATTTCACTTGAGGATGCCTGTGGATGGCATTGTATCGGTTGGGATGATAATAAATAGAAACATGAAGACAATCCAACGCATTCCATAAATATGGAAGGGTAATTGGTGAAAGGGTGGTATGATACAATGTGATATAAATGAAATGATTTAATATGACAGAAGGATGAGATTGGTCATGTGGTCATGATCACATCACACCTTCTTCATAACCCTAACTCAGTCAGATTCTCTAGTAATAGATGTTGCAGGACACTCTGGGTATACCGTAGATATAAATTACTAGAATATTAAGATGATTACAACGATTGTCCTTATAACGAAAAGAGATTAGCCACACAACGAACCATGACGTCAACCCTCCGGCGAACCCTATACAACTCGACAAGTCGCCCTCGACTGAACTTTTCTCCCTGTCAATTCAGCAGACCGAACCTCTATTCTAGCTCCATACACTTCTTCCAATCGCCCCCCAAAACCATGCCGACTTACCCTGGATCGTGTTATTGCCGGGATATCGAGTACGAACTGTCCCTTTCCTCACCCGATGACGCACGGACTTCCCTCTGTCACTGTAAAAACTGCAAAGTACGCAGACACTGCAATATGTCCTCTCTCTATATGCCACTTATGAATGCTACTAACACAGGAATAGAAAGCCTTCGGAACAAACTACGGCCTTACCGCGAAGATCCCCAAGGACGCTCTCCGACTCACTAAAGGCGCCCCAAAGGAACATGTGGCCGACAATGGGTCCGGATCGCTGATTCATCGCGAGTTTTGCTCCAATTGTGGCAGTTTTATCTGTGAATATGGGGTAGGGATATACGACACTATGCCGGCAGGAAAAAAAGTGATGTTGACCCTCACAGGATGCCGTCAAAGATCAGTTCCGCTATTTATGTGTTGGGTCCTTGGATGATCCCGAAGCGCTGCCACCAAAGGGCGAGTTCTTCTGCAGCTCTAGAGCCAATTGGATGCCAGAGATTCCCAGTAAATCTTCCATGTCGTTCTCCACGATGCGTATAGTTGCTAATGAACTCAGACGTGTTTCATAAACAGAAGATTAAGGAGTGAGTAGGGTTCAGTCTAAACATAAGTCGTTATGTACACATGTGGTGTTGTTTATGGTGTAAATAGGCAAGTCGATAGAAGCAAGTTATGATGATACCTCAGTGATGCTACGGACCACCATATCAGGCTCGATCAGCTTGTCCCGGATTGTAAGCGCATTCAGATAGTCGTTCCTATCCACCCGAAGATACCCATCTTCTATTGTTTTTTCTATCCCAGCGCTGACGTGACGTTTCGCCACACGTTCCCGTGCTTCTTGCAGGTCCGTGTCGACGAACACACGGTAGTCAACCAGTCGTGCGACGTCACGCCACTCAGGCTCATCCAGAAGGAGATAGTTGCCTTCAATGATGAGGATCGAAGCGTCGCTGGATATCATGATGCTATCCTCTACTGGATCCTTGGTTTCATGATGGAAAGCGGGTGCATATATGGTCTCGTTGGAAAACGTATCTGTCCACTGCCGTAATTGGTGAACGAAAGTAATGAATCGGGCGGCATCAAAGGTCCACGGCGCTCCACGCCGGATATATGCCTCCTCTCGATTCGGGAGCTGGTCCAGTGTCGCCCGCGACAGATGGAAGCCATCCATGGAGACCAGCTCAGTCTGGATAGGATTTTGCCCTGAATTCAAACGCTGTGCAATGGCAGTTGCCGTTGTTGTTTTGCCAGAGCCGGGCACGCCGGCGATGGCGACGAGATATCGCTTCTTATCATGGGTTTTGGCCCGGTGGCGAATGATGTCCGCGATACGCGTATACTCTTCCTCCATCTGTGAGTAATATTAGACGGGCGATATACTTTCAAATAAAGTTATAAAAGAATGTATGTTGCGTCAACGCGTAGCTGCGTGGCGACTCACTATGAATATTCGATAGCCTCAGCGGTCGGATAGATGCGATAACCCCAACGACTCAGACAATTGAATTGTTTGTCAAGATGATAACTAGAACTCTGTATGGCACGAGCTTATATAAAAATACCCCATCCTTGAAGTATGTCTGGGGGTGTGGAGAGACCGGCTCACAGTGCTCCGACAACAATGACTTCAATTTTACGGAGCTCTGTCCACCGTCACCCGAGGCTACTCGACACCCTCCCTGCAGCCTTGAAAGGCATCAAGGTAACAAAAGTCTCGTGTTAGGATCATATGTATGCGCTGGCGGCTAGCAGATTTTCTTTATCTCTGAGTAGTCTTCAACATAGACTGACCCCAGTATTGTCTGGGCCCGTCAATTATCCATGAGTGCAAATAATTTATTGGTGATAACCGTGGGATGTCAAGGAGCATGTGAAGATTATATATATATATATTTTTTTGCAAGAATCTCTTGTTGGGGTATATCCACTCTCCCCTCTGTGGAGTGCATCACCGGAGGGGAATCATATCTTTTATCTAATCTGCGTGAAGAGAAGAGTGATGCCTATCTTATCACGGCAGTTAAGGAAAATTGTGTATTAATTTAATGTCGAAGCTCCTCCCACGATCATCCGCTAGTGTCAATCTCCCGTGGACGCAATACTGTTTCTGTATGTGTGGAGCGCGGCTTTTTCGAACGTCTAGTCGCCCGCAAGGGAGGTAGGGGCGCCACATAGAAGCATAAAAGTTGCTCATCCAGGCAATGTGCGCATCGCGGTCGCTGAAGATCGCATGCGACACCCCGCGATTCACACGCTTTACATGGAAATGTTGAACGTTCTGTGTCCACCCTTGTTTCTTCGCGCTGTGCAGCGTCCGGACTTGGCTCCGATGGCCAAGAAGAATTCCTGTCTTTTTGATGGCTCGGCGGCTCTGCAAGGGCGGGACGGGCTTCTGCGGGACTGATAAACCAGGATGACCATAGCCATTGCGAAAAGCGTCGAACGAAACAATGTTTACTGCAGTCACTGCTTCGGAGAAAGGTGCACGACGCGGGGCTATCCACCCTGTTTGCCATGATGGTTGGTTTCATCGGACTGATTTCGGTAGAGGGAAATGCGGAACAGGAACCGCTACGTTGTCACCATTAGGCGGGAATGTAACTTCAACCACGGAAGTCTACCCACCGGTCAGGGGATTTTTCTCTACCTCTTTCTTCAAGCAAAAATGACCGGGTGCTCTCGACCGTGTATATATCGTGGTGTAGAAGTAGGTCACTGTATCACAGACAGATGCGCAGGAGTATATTTAACACTTGTCGGATACTATCTCCAAAAGTATATATATGGAGAGGAGGAGGAAATGCGATGGCGCTGTGAGATGAGGGGACAAAGACAAACAGCTTTGAGGAAAGAACAAAGGAGGTGGAGACATTCCAGAAGAGGGGGTTTAAGGGAATCAACGTATATCCACGACCCTTGGCAAGAATGACAAGTCACGATGCAAAGCCAAGGTCTGGGCCTGTGATCATCCATCGTGTGGTTGCTGCCAGCGCATTGATCAAGCAATAGTCAAATAGCCAAATCAATAGATTTGCATTCCAGGCAGGTAAAGATCAACATTACGTCAACCACCTGACCCTGTATGGGTCTCGTATGGAGGTACCTGTACCGTACATCGTTGGAGGGTAATTTATGTCTGTTTAGGCATGATTCTGTCCCGTCTGTCCGTACACCTCAAAGATAGCCGGTAAGATACCTGTAGGGCTGTGGTATGAAAAGAACCAGTTGACCGGGTAAAAGTTCCGAGACGTGATATCCAATAGATCCCGACAGGGACTAGTTTGACTCCCCATTGCCATTTCAGGTTTCTGCGGTGGAAATGAGAATCCACCTCGAAGCAATCTGAATTTATCGGCCGTTAGATTTTTTTCTCACTTCTCCAACTGATGGGGCTGATGTTGACGGAGACTAAGTAGAATCAGGTGAACCCAAGGAGACTGTGACGTAATGATTTGGTTTGGCTTGCTAGCTTAATTAAATGGGTATCTTCTTTCTTTCTTCCATGTTTCTGGAGGGCACTCTCACTTGCACGTGATGTTATCTTTTCTCTCCCCCCCCCTTTTCTTGTCTTATTTATTTCTGTTATATTTTGAATTCCTGGTCTCGTTTAATAAGACATTCGTCCACAAGACCTTGTCGGACACGTATCCATGTCTAGTGCCCCTTGATTTGTGCATTATTCCCGCAATTTGACATTGCTGCAGGTCCAAGCGGAACGCCACATTGACCAGGCTTTGTTCTGACTACTAGTACCAAACAACGCGAGTAATGATTGACTTGGCCAAAGGTCTATCACTTTTGCCCCCACGTCGTTCTCAAGTAACATGAATTATTAAATCTATTCAATACTATTGGACGGCAATTGACTGGCATCGACACTAACATTAGAAGCACGGACACTCATTCCTTCCCTGGCGGATAAGCTTTCCCCGTAATTGAATCTCAGTACGGAGTAGGTACATCTATCAGTTGAATTGCCCTTTTCGTTGAGTTTAAAAGTTTGTCATACTGTGTCCTGGCCGAGACATCTTGAGGCATCATTGCAACTACTGAGTAACATTGACCGCTTCATGCGGATCAAACCGACCGTGTGAAGTATGCTCCAATTGTAATATCGCGACAGGACAATGCAATGCTCCATAACGCGGCTGTACCCGATTGCAGCTCCTGGGTACTACGCAGTACTTACATAAAGTATGGAACCCTTAGTTACCCCAGCCCGGGCGTTCGAGACCGCGACGGGAACCCTCTCGGGACTCGGAACAGCCACATCTCGGATCGTTGTAACAGTATTGTGACACACGAAACCAAAGGGAGGTAAGAAAAGATGGTCCAACCAATTGACTTGTATGTCCTGTACTTGGTAAATTGGTATCATTTACTAGTGTCACGGAATCCGGCAACTCCTTCAGACTTCCCCGCACGCGCCATTCGGGTAGAATACACCGTACTAGATATACTATCAAACTTTCATCACTGGAAGTTAAATGATAAATCCTTCTCCGGAACTTGAAACGTCACACAGACGCGAGTCATGTAATCACATCACGTGGATCATAATATCTCGACTGATTCAATTTCGTACTGACTTGTCACATTGCAGCAGCAATAATGGTTATCACTCCTCCGGGTGATGCACTTCATTCGAATCTTCCGTGGTGTTTCTGATCGTCTCAGGTGGCTGCGGATCGAAATGAACGCTTACTAAATCAGTATGCAACGATTAGAAGCCTCGTGCATGGAACTGCTCACACCTTGAATCCTTCCACTGTTTGTGTCGGCTCTTTAGTCTGCTGATCGACCGCGTGCGACTGAAAAGTTTGTGGTTCATCGTGGTGCATCTCCTCGGCGTCTCGAGTGCCTGCAGACGCACGGCGACTTCTCAGCGCACTATTGGAGTCGACATCGTTAACTTTTGTCTAGTACCGCTCCCCAGGGTGTCACGAGCTTACGCTTGATAGCTACGCATAGCATGTATCCTCTCCTCGATGGAGGATGCGATTTCGTTGTCTTCGTGTGAGTAAATGTAGGACATGGTGACTTATTTGCTTGCATTACACAGAGGAACATAAAATACTCGAGGCTTCACAGCGAGAGTGCATGGCTTTATTATACCGTCTTCAGTTTACCCAGTGCAGTAGAGGGCCGGTCTCATGACCACGACAACGTTCCAGGCCGATTTCAATCCTGTACTACCCGTGGGCGACAGGAAATATCATTACTCTCGCAGGGTCATTGGAGCGGGCCTCCATTGGAATTGCTTCATCGCTGGCTCATAGTGGTATGACGCACGTATTTTGAGGATCGGGACGAGGTCAAACCGGAACTTTAACCATGGTTCATCACACATTAGACTTGTCATAGGCTGACCTCACTCTTGCTGTTATGCCTATTGCGCCAGGTGTACACCAATCACAGCATGTCGATGGGCAAAATGTCAGGCTCACGCTAGGCCACCAAGCATACCCAGATCGATGACTTTTTTGAAACTTCAAGTAATTTTATATCCTGAATTAAGAATTCTGAATATGAAACTATATTAATAATCAAGTCAGTGTGGCCGAGTGGTTAAGGCGATAGACTAGAAATCTATTGGGTTCGCCCGCACAGGTTCAAATCCTGTCGCTGACGAGATCTTTTTTGTCGACTTTCTATCCCTTTTTAAGGGCGAAACTTGACATGGTTGCCCTTGCATTGAGCATTGCTTCATTCTTTTTGTACTTTTTTGTGGGGTTTTTGTAATGATAACACCCCTTGGCTGGAGTCTTGCCCTCGAATGGCAACAGGTTGAAAGGTTACCGGAAAGAAGCTCACCACGATCAACTCGAGACTACAAGATACTGTATACGAGTGTTAAAGCAGCTCTCCCTGTAAGACAATGCCATATTCCCGCAATCAAAGGCGACGCATTTAGCTTCATGGCTGAAAACAGTATCATGGCCTGAACCGACCTGAAGCCCAAGATCCAAGCCACGACACTACATATTTGCTATTTATGACAAAAAATATCATTTGCCCTACACTTGTTGCCGTTGTAATCGTTTCCCTTGTTCCCTTGTCAGCTAGCTTTTGCAACCTCCCGTCGCAGCCAATTCTATAGCATATGAGATCATAAGATGTAGTATATATAACAGTGAGAAAACGACAGGAGAGTAATGCCTGAAGTTTATAAGGAGCTAGTCCTAGTTGAGCCTAACAAGATGCAGCATAGAGCCCAAGTTCTTATCTCAAGAGAGAAGGCCTGCAGGGGACGGTGGAGGTTAACAGTGCGTGGGAGATATGGGATCGAGAATGGCCGAGGCAATAGCCCTAATTGACTCTATGCAATCGGCCTTACCGAAGATATTGCTTAGAAAAACGATAATGGATATGAAAGACAAAAGGTAGGCTAGCCCTTCATACACTACTCTTGGTCTAGAGGGCAGTGTTCAGCGACCACGCCAACAGTCCTGTCGTCTCGATCTAAGTACTGTACACAGATAGGATGTAGGAAATAATGTAGCCACGGTATTCAACCACAATTACTCCGTACCCCGTAGTGAACTCGGCACTACGGTGTAGTAAACCGGAATCTAGGGACTCCGCCGTTTCGATCATCAAAAACAAAAAGAAACGTCAGCGACAGGATTTGAACCTGTGCGGGCGAACCCAATAGATTTCTAGTCTATCGCCTTAACCACTCGGCCACACTGACTTGATTGATGATTAGGCTTTCATATTTTGCCATCAGTAAGAAAGCTAATTTGAGTATGTGTTTTTTTTAGAACACCACTACAGCTATAGATCTTGAACATGCCCTGACAAGTTTTACGTTTGCGCTCGAGTAGGCCAAAAAAAAAAAAAAAGCCATCTCGTTAGCCCTGAAGATAAATACGTCAAGATCCTTTAGAGAGGTTATCATGCTTTGCTTAGGTACACCACTCTGCATTAACACAAACTGACAAGGGTATCATTTCGGCGTATCTGATCTAGGCTACATCTAGAATGCTACCCAGGCGGCAGCTATTAGCATGGCCATACCTGCCACACGCGGGCTAGTGCTAAACATAGACGCCGAACTCTCAGAGCCCTTCTCCTCCTCTTCGGGGTTCTCTTCAGTCACAACTTTTAAACATGTCATCTGCGAAGAGGTTCTATCCACCAGGCTCTTATTGCCCTTACCAACGAATACTGTCAACACCGGGGTGATCTTCCAGGCCTCTCGGTACATTGAAGCTGCCGTATTGTTCCCCTGCATCATGGTATTGTATATTAGTCTAGGCTCCCAGGAAACATATTGGGCCCTAAGGATGACGGGGCAACTTGAGATTAATATATAGATATATATCACGTACCACAGCAGTATTCTCCGTGATCAGGGCCAAACCATCAGATTTGGGCTTAACAGGCCAACAATCCGTGGAATTCTTCACGCTTGAAAGATTCCCAAACGAGGTAACGGTAAAGTTCCCTAGTCCCTTACCCTTACCACCGAGGATCCCACACTCCTCAAATGTATTCCTTTTCAGTTCGCGCTCCAACGCCGCGCACACACCGTCATTCGAAGTGGCATTGGTAACGCTGCGCGCCCGCTCCGTAAGCGTATCGATACACTTCTGCTCAATGATGTCCGGACAAGTACCGCGTGCCGCTTGGACATCCGTGACGTTTCTATCCTTGCCTGTTTTTATGGGGCCGTCGAATTGTTTCTCAGGAGGGTCGTTGAAGGTCACAACACAGCCGTTTAAGTCGTTGACGTCGAGCGCAGACGGTGTTCCGAGGTAATATGCCGAATTGAACTCCCGCTTTCCCTCGTCGCCTTCTGAGACGTTGACACCCTTGATAAGGGACAGGCCTTCGAGTGTCGAGGGGACGTTGGGGATGCGAGATAGACCGATGCCTAGAAATGTCTTGTCACCGACTGTGCAGCGATCATGGGCGTTTTCCTTGGGACATGAGACTTCATCGCAGCCTACGAGACTTTCGGACAACTTGGTATCTTCAGCAACGCCATAGATAATGAGGAATGAAAGGAGGAGAACAAGGCTGGGATATCTCATGCGGGCCATGGCGTTGTTGCGTTACTATGGAATTGGTTCTACTAGTAGTCAAAATGGAAGACTTGAAGGGAAGAAGTCTGGTACTGAGAGCATCTCGTATTTGTCAGTGTCAGAATATATATATACTATGGATATATACTGTGTAAGCTACGGAGGCTTATATTCATCTATGAAATGACATCAGACGCAATTGTTGGCAACAGGGGAGAGCCTTGGCGTAAGGATGGCGGAGCACCAAATCGGGTACAGCCGCAGGGTGAGATTTGTTTGAACAGGTATCGATCAGCAGCACTTAGGGCTAGGCCGACATCATACGAGGCATCTGATGCCGGTTGGGTTACATCTTCGAGGCAAGTACTGCGAGCTGACATTGACATGTAAGCAGTGCTATGGAATTAATGCATCCTTAGCACCATCGTGAGGAAGGCCTGACAAGTGCTCTGTTTCTTCCTTGCGCCACTTCCTTGATTTCGCCCCGGACTATGGAGAGAATGAAAGAGTAGTAATAACCTGATTGAGCACCTTCGCGAGTGGTGAACGATACAGTTCGCCTCGGGAAATACCCGGATCGTCTGATTTGCTAGATGGATCGGAAGTTTCGGCATATTGCTGACTATTATTCATGACTTCCTCTGTAGTCCGCTTAGCCGAGACGACTGAATAAACATCACCTCATACGAGTGTGAGTTATAGAGCTATATAATTGGGACAGCGGCTTACCTTCACTGCCACAGAGCTTCAGCGAGGCGTACTTTTACGGCAGCCTGTAGTTGATCCGCAGGACAAAAATTTTGTGCACGAAATTGTGATAATCTGAGACTAGCGGATCCTTTTGGGGCCGGGCAATATCGGCCAAGAATTCGAACTGCCAAACTACATATCTCGAGTTCCGCCGGTTGCATAATTCTGTGGGGTCCAAATCCCCTGAAGACTTGCAAACACAATCACTTGGAGTGACATGACTTTGAAAGAATCCAAGACCTAGGCCACTAGTTCTGTGATACTTCCTAAATTTCACCAAAATGAATGGGAAAAGGCAATATACAGATGTAACATTAGTATTGACGCGCAGAAGAAGGCTCCTGGAAGCTTGAAGCGCATACTGGGTGATAGAGCTAGGAATTACTGCTCCACTCTAGTTATATAAAGTCCCTTGGCTTACAATGGCAGATCTAGTCTTCGCAATTGGAGCAATAGTCTCTTGAGTGACTAGAGAAGCAAGCTCTTGAACGCGCAGTACTTCAAACGTCAGCCATGTCTTTCGTTGACGCAAATCGCAGTATATCAGGAATCTTGACCATAGTATTTTCGCAGGCATAGTTTTCTGAAACCCGGAAAATTGGATGATTATAACTAATTCAGTCATATCAAAACTGAATGTCTGAGCGAAGTATAATAGTCTTTCTGGTTAGATACCACTTACTCTCTTTCCATTTGTAGGATGTTGTTGGAAGACACTCGCTATTTTTCTTAATTATTAGGGAGCAAATGGTAAGCTTATTACGATCGATATAAGTTCTGATTGACAAGTAATCAGGATTAGTTCTTTTCATAAACATTGAGCCGAATTGTGACGTGAAAATCGTTGAAGAATTCGAAGATTATGCACAAGGTATATATAAGGAAGCCCATCCAATTCTAATAATCTGAATGAACCTCAGCAGAGATGAGCAAGAAATACGGCCGATGCCTTTCATCCTTCCATTCAGGATGTTCCTCAACGTCATGCTCCGAAGGAACCCAATCCTTTAATCCAGTCAGGACGAAGCCGTTCTGAAGCAAAGCAGTAACATAAGTCTCCACGGTTCGATGGTACTTTCTGACCCCATCAACACCCAGCCAGTTCGTCACGCGCGGACCTTCATCACTGTAAGTGTTTAAAGGCCAAATCTTTCTACCCACTCCTTCACCATCTTCATTTGGTAGAACCTTCCAGTCAGGTTCCGGATTAACCGGGGCTGTACAGATGGGATGTTCGACTGAAAAGATTAACCTTCCCCCTTTCCTAGAACCATCTCCAGGAACACCTTTTTTCAAACAAAGTCGGATTTGCCGAAGCAATTTTGAGAAATCTTCGATATAATGGAACGTCAACGAACTGTAGACTAAATCATATGAGTCCGTCTCAGATGTGCTGAAGGATATCGTCTCGAGATCGCCGACTTCATAAAATAGTGTTCCACAAGAAGTCGGAATAGTCCCTTTCTCACGCAGGTCTTTCTCGGACTTCTTAGCTGTCTCGATCATCTTTGTCGATACATCGATGCCTTTGACAAGTTTGGCGCCGTTTTCTCGAGCCCAGCGGGTGAACCAACCGTAACCACAACCTAGATCCAGAACATGTTCGTTCTCAATGCCATTATGGCGTGGTTTGTTGTTCTTCAAGATCATCTCTTGCAACACCGGCCATTCGGGAGCTGCGTCGAAGCCATGTTGGGATCGAGGAAGTGTGCTGTATGCCGTGAAGAATTTGGGGTCATCGTAAATGTTTTGTGTTGGGGTTGAGGACATCTTGTAGTCTCTCTAGGAACGATGAGATGGGTTAGAATAGCATTGGTCTCGACTGTGACCGTGGGTTATATATACGGTCGAGGAAGAATAGGACTATTCCGAATCAGGTTCCCGACACGCTTACCGAATGAGGCAGTTGAACTTTAAAAGTACTTATTGATAATCTCAGCAAAACCTTGAAGTCTGAGGTGACCTTCAGAATAAGATGACACAGAGTTGTATTATGGAAATCACAATATTCGAAGCATTCAACGAGGATATTCTCCATTCTTCAAACGGTAAAACCAACCCTAGAGTATTACATACTATCACCTTGAGCGAAGCTTCCCTGCTCCGCAACTAGCTGCTCCCACTGAATCCATTCGTTTGGGTCCATCTCGAAAGACAGGAGGTTAGGGAGGTCATAGAAGTCGAGAGCTCCCCCATCGAAGTGATTGTCTTCGTGATTCAGAGATTGGATTCTGTCCTGGTCCATGGTTTCTCGAGTGGCAGGTTCAGGTGCTACCGCTTGAATCTTGGCCTTGAATGGTGACTCTATTGCCGGTCGTCGGGAGTGACCGATTGCATTGATATAATCGGGTGTCAATGGTTCTGGAAGGCCGTCTGCCTTCAAGGCCGCAACGTGGTCGTCCCAAACCTCTAACGTCCACTTGCCTAGTGCTATATATACAGGCCCGGGGGATTCGTCAAACACCTGAGGGTAATACGAGAATACGGTTTCAATCAACCTCCATGCCTTATCAACGTCAGTCCCTGTTTTTCGGTGTCGAACTTCGATGAGCACGTAGAGTATCACGTTCCAGAGAACGCTTGTGCCAAAATTCCATTTATATTTTTCTAGACCATGGGTCCCTTCTTGCATGAAAATGACATATTCCAATAGTTTCATAGCGTTAGCAAAGAATATGTTGCGCTCGCTTTGGGGGACTTTGATAGGATCGTTGGCAAATTGTCGTGGGTTATGCGCAAAGAGCTTCATTTTGCATATTGATGACCTGATTATGATTGATACAAAAGTATGAAGCGAGTTCGACGGGTCACAATATCGCAGATACTTCACTTCCAGTCGATCCTCAATGTGGCTGATGATGTTGTCCTTTTTCATGATTGTGACATCCGGACTGGAGAGTGCCTCCCAGCGCCATTCACTAGGACACGATGTTGGAAATTCACGCAGACTCCCCATAATCTCGTATTTAACCAAACAAGGAGTAGTAGTAGTAATGCCGCGGCGTCCCAGTGGTGGGTTGACCATGTCAGGGTGGAGGTCCTCGTCTTCGACATTCAGAGGCATTTGGTTATCGCTGCAGGAAAGATCCAGCGACGGTTTCGTCCCCAGCACATCTGCCAGGCGGAAGTCCACATAAGCTAAATGCCACCAAAGTCGCCTTCGCATTTCCGTTTCGAATGGAGAGAGTCCTAGAGTTGAACTATCCCGATGGAGCCCCATTTTGCGCGCAAGTCGTATAGCGACGCCCGATAAAACGAATAGGGTATCACACTTATAGCTTTTTCTTATACACGTCTTCCTGTGTAAGCTGTGATTAAATAAAAGTTTGGTAGCTACAACTTACCATGAATAATGCATATGCACCAAGGGTCGTTGGACTGGACGTTGATAGGAAACCTGCATTTATTAAAGCTTGCCGAGCCGCGAGTCTATATCGGGAGTACATGACTGATTTCCGTACTCCAAATAGATGTTGGGATTCATCTTCTTTTAGAGTAGAGATTGTCGCAAGGTAGAAAGCAAAAATCATTGCCTCCAAGTCTGTTGGCATGCTTTGAGGATCACTCAACCCGTCGGTTGCTGAGATCCAGAATGTAGGCACATGTAAGATTTTTATCATAGGGTCAACTCGATCAAGATATATTTCCTTCAACTTTGATAACATCTGGTGCGAGAGGTGAAGGTTTGCCAGGTTGTCGGGCTTATCAAATTGTTCAGGTTCGAAGAACAGCTCATTGTCTTGAATGTTTGACTCATCAATTGGCTCACCAACCTCCGGATGGTGAAGCTAATATATGATCAGCGAAAGAAGTGGGAAAGGCCAAGTGAAATACTTACTCCATTTCCTAGGCTAGACCAAGGAGCACTAACACACCTTAGAGGCCATTCCTTCACAACCTAAAGTAGTATCAAACATACCTGTCAAAGTATCTAGATGTGCCCTTATCAATGATAAGCCTTGGTTTAGTTTCTCCCAGGTTGGGGCGTTGGCTTGGAGGGACAGCCTCCTCATCCATCTGAACATCATCAGGCTGAGATGCCGTTTCCGACTCCGAGTCATCAAAATCTCCCGATGGCTCAAACTTTGCACCGTAAGATTTCAACAATTCCTCGTATCGTTTTAACTTGGCATGGAGACTTTCTCTGGGAGGTTTTGTTCTTTTTCGCTTCCCGCGCACAGGAGGAATAAAGCTGCATTGCTTCTCGGCCTTGATGCAATTGGAGCAGGGAGTGCAACGGTCGCATTTGACCTTGCGCTGCCGACAAGTCAAGCACGAGTAGGTCTTAAGATTATCTCCTGGCTCAATATTCTCGGATACTGCGGATCTCTTCATTGTTGATGTCATGCTTAATGCGTGGGGAATATTCAAAAGGGTGTAGTGATAGAGAAGGTTGACTTTCTCGGGGTTCGGAAGTTGAAAATGCAACTTTTGTGCTCCGAAAAGCGAATCGGTATTGGCAGAGCGAAGCAGCATTCTCATGCTTTTTAAATACTCACCCACCAGACCACCAATAATTTCTCTATCATGTCTAAATTGTTCCGTGTCTATCATGACTCAATCTTCACTAAACGGCGAAAAGCAACCTCCGACTAGTCGGGGGGATGGCAAGCCCAACGTAGAAGACATTGTCTATCCCACGGGTCTCAAGCTTGCCTTATTGTTGGTGTCCATTTTTGTTAGCATGTTCCTAGTTTCTCTGGTGCGTTACCATTACCAAGGTGACAAGCTTTCCTATGGCTATGAATTAACTATCCTAGGACCGCCTCATTATCTCTACCGCCATTCCCCAGATAACTAATGAATTTAACTCAGCGGGGGATATTGGCTGGTATGGCACAGCGTACTTGCTCACTAATTGTGCCTTCCAGCTAGTTTTTGGAAAGATATACACCCTCTTCAGCGTCAAACCCGTCTTTCTAATATCCATCCTCCTGTTCGAAGCTGGCTCGGCCCTCTGCGGTGCCGCCCCAAACTCAGTCGCTTTCATACTTGGCAGGGCCATCGCCGGCCTGGGAGGAGGAGGCATTCTCTCTGGTGTCGTAAGTTCTGTATCGTACTATTCCTCACAGACTTGCTCACCCAGCGGCATCTAGATCGTCGCCATCGTCTACGCTGTTCCGCTGCATAAACGGCCCAAGTACCAGGGCATCTTTGGTGCAGTATTTGCTATCTCTTCAGTGACCGGCCCACTGGTCGGCGGTGCCTTCACCACAAACGTCACCTGGAGATGGTGCTTTTACGTCAACCTCCCTTTGGGAGGCGTAGTTATGGTACTCGTGTCCATCTTGCTCCAAGGACCTGACCGTCCGGACATTAGGACGCCTATGAAAGACAGGCTGCAACAGCTCAACGTGCTTGGACTGGTCGCCCTTCTTCCAGGAGTTATTTGCCTGTGTTTGGCCTTGCAATGGGGTGGTACCACATATGCTGTGAGTTTGGACCCTTCGGTTCATGATGCCTCCCTGCCTCGATCCAGCAGAGCTGACCGCATCTAGTGGAGTGAGGGGCGTGTTGTAGCATTGCTTGTACTTGCCTTTGTGCTTTTGATTGCCTTTGCCCTGATCCAGAACTGGACGCCAGAACAGGCCATACTACCACCGCGTATCTTCACCCAGCGCAGTATTGCCTCCGGCTTCTGGGTGAGCTCCTGCCTCGGTGCACATATGAATCTCTTCGGTACGTCCACACTTTGAACGGAGAACATAATGGCCTTCTAACACCAAAAATGCCAGTGTATTACCTACCCATATGGTTTCAGGCCATTAAAGGTGTCTCGGCTGTCGATAGCGGCATCCACCTGCTTCCTATGCTAATCCCCATTGTTGTGGCATCCATAATCACTGGCCAATTGGTCTCCCGCATCGGCTATTACACACCCTTCATGATCTTCGGTGTATGCCTCACAGCGATCGGCACTGGATTACTCACTACCCTCGGAATCAATACCTCGGAGGGCAAGTGGATAGGCTTCCAGATCATATACGGGTTCGGCATCGGCTCCTGCTCCCAGGCACCCAATATGGCTGCACAGACGGTGCTACCGCGCAAAGACGTGGCCATTGGCGTATCTCTCATGTTCTTCGGTCAGCAGCTCTTCGGCGCCGTTTTCGCCTCGGTTGGCCAGAATGTACTCTTCAACCAGTTAGCGCACCGTCTCGCCGGCATCCCCGGCATCAGCCCTCAGCTAATACAGAGTACCGGTGCCACTGAGTTCCTTAATCGCGTCACATCTGAGGACCATGCCGTAGCTCAGGAGGCATATAACGACTCCCTGCGCAAGTGCTTTCAGGTCGGTCTCATTATGGCTTGTCTTTCTATGTTGGGAGCTTTCAGCATGGAGTGGTGCAGTGTGAAGAAAAACCTTCCGCGTAAGGAAAGAGATGGTCAGCAGGCTTCTGAGGAAGGCAAGTGTGAAGGGAGCTTAAGAGGAAGGGAATCATCGCAGGTGGTACGCTCAGCAACATTGACCACAGAGGAAACGGCAGAGAAAAAGACCAAGGAAACAGCTGGGAATGAGGAAGTGAAGGACAAGAAGATCGCCGCTTAAGCGGAGTTCGACTGGAATTAGAAGAACTTATGCCGCTTGGAGCTTCAATATCATCAGGCTAGAGTAACAGGCGGGCTATTTTTGGCTGGATGAGTTAATGGAAGATGGGAATAGTCATTCAAGCTTGTATGGTAGTTATAAGTAATATAGACAACCCCACTCAAATAAAATATTATTGAAAAAACTTATAGTTCTAGCTATAGAATCGGGAGCATGGCATGGCAGAATTCCCCGATGAAGACAAATGGATATTAAAAGCTAATGTCGTATCGCAATTCACAGGCTAATCAACTTCGTCCTTTTCCTGCAAGAACTGGACAACAGCTATTCCAACGTTAGTAGGTCTTACGCAGAAGAGCTGCAAGGTACCAACTTACCCTGTCTGAATTCCTCAGGCCGTTCCTGAACAATCCAGTGTCCACAATCTATATTCACAATGCGCGATCGAGGGAAGAAAGACGAAATAACGGGGAATGAGCTTTCAGGTATATAATGGCTCTGCAGGGCTCGAAGGAACAACGCGGGTTTGGGGAACTGAACAGGTTTGCCCTTGTGTGGAAAATCTCCCAACGGACCGATAGCAGTCGTCAGGACATCCAAAGGAACACGAAGCTTCAGATGCGGGGAGTCGCGTTCTCGAACAAAATTACTCAGTAACCATAATCGCACGGACGGAGACTAGTTACAACTGTTAGAAAAATTCCTCGTTTCGGGATAATAGGTCAGTGTAACATATACCTCCTCATGTTTGCTCAAGATCTTGTCCCCTTCTTGATGACTTTTGACTCGTGCATCCTGTACTTCTTCCATAGCTCTGAGATATCTCGGAAACTCTTCCGTCAAGCCTAGGTGGATGGGACAGTTGTCGATAGCGACGACCTTGGATATCAGATCTGGCGACTGAAGGGCAAGCGTCAAGGCGGTTTTGGCCCCCCTAAGGAAGAAATTTAATATGTGATTGGACTGCATGCATGAGGTAACCTGCCGAATTTGGTTCCTTACATCGAGTGACCAATCAATGTGGCATTATTCAGTCCGTGGGTTCTGATGAAATGTTCAACGTCTATTGCCATTTCCATATAGTCATGCTTTGGGTGGTGACCGGAATCTCCATGGTTTCGAAGATCCTAGAATTCCATCAATCATTTATATACCAGGCGTTAATCAGACGATGAAACATACCAAACAGAAGACTTGTCGCGACAGATCCTGGGCCAGACTCCTGAACAAGAAGTCTGTGAGCGCTACACTGAAGTGGTCGGCAGATAACAGTTCACAATAGAGAAACATACTTGCCCACACCCCTGTTTTCGCGCTTGGACCCGAGAAACCCATGCAGGAATATTATTGGATTCTGATTAGTTAAGTCTGATTGTGTACGGTTGGCGTGTCTAGGAGTGTGTAATTCATATGCCAATGGGACCCTTGAAGTTCTCGTTCTTGCTGGCGTATATATACACCTGATGTAGTTCCTGGCCTGTCTTGAAGCCATGGCCCGTGGGGTATGCATGGATACTGGCACCGCACCTGGAGGAGAACGTACGGAGTATCAAACAGATCCACACACTAGTTTAAGTGAGTGATAGTTGTAATTGGTCGAGAAATTATATAGTAGATGACAATTCGCGGTGGACAATATGCCAGACTCGGACTGGATACCTTGAGTCTTAGACTCGGGTACTTGACCCGGGAAGGTTGAGCCTTTGCCGACAAGTTGATGGTTGACTCCACTCCGTGCCGATAGTGGAGAAGATCAGGGTTTGCTGAACCAGTGACCGCGTCAGGTATAGCGTAGGGCGTGGGTAAAGAACGCGCAGACTCTTATTTTTTGCGCCCTACGCTATACCTTTTGCATTATTAATTCGATGGGTCTAACTATCACACTAATAAGAAAAAAGCTCTTTTTTCTTTACTCCGTACTTCGTATTCTTTTACCCGCCCTCCCAGAACTTCTTCTAGTTTTTCTTCTGTTCGATTGTGTAGCCTGTAGTTCGTAGATCGTACTCGACCAGTATAAGCCACGCCAGCTCTATCTACTGGGATTTCAAATGAACATATTGAGGTCTGTATTTATAAGCAGTTGAGATGTTATTCATGGTGTCATAATGGCTGAATACTATTAGTCCACCATGTCCTGTGACTCTTATTTCTCTAGCGGCCACAGCGAACTCGGAACGAAGGCCGAGTTCTCCACCCCGTTTTTTTCGGGCTCCTGAGATTTAAAATAGGGAGTAGAGCCTGGAACAACTCTGAAAGACGAAGTAGGTGGCCAGGTTTAGATGCAAGATGGACGCACAACCGGATTCTGAGTTGCGCAAGACTTGCGATAGTCCTAATGTCTTTCCAAAGAACCCTTTGAGACCTTCAGTCTCGCGGAAGAGTATGGTGCGTCCGTTTGACTTTTCTCTGGTAAGTCATAGATTTTCTCCGAATCCAAGCCTAGTGATGTCACAATTCAAGTTTAGATCGTTTCTAGAAGGAGACAGTAAATTAACTTGTACCGTACTTCAAGGCTCGCAAACTTCACATCGTCGTTGCAGGGATATACTTCGTCTTCAACAGCTCTCTAGGTTCTTCCCTACCATCGGGTGCTCATGATGCTATTGCCGACTATTTCCATATCCCACAAGATGACTTGAAGATGGTGCTCCCCACTTCACTCTACATGGCCGGGTTTGCCATCGGCCCTCTCATCTTTGGCCCCTTGAGCGAACGCTTTGGCCGGAAACCCATCTTGGTTACCACGTTTGCAATATATAATCTCTTTACCATGGCATGTGCATTGGCTCCAACCTTTCCAGCTCTTCTGATCTTCCGCTTTCTTTGTGGTCTGGGAGGCTCAGCACCGAACGCAGTACTGGGTGGCCTATTCTCCGACATATACAACGATCCTCACCAGCGTGGAATGGTCATGTCAATATTTATGTTCGCAACGACATTTCCCCCTCTCTTGGGACCTATCATTTCTGGGTTTATCTCCACTGTATCTTGGAGATGGACATTCTGGGCAGGCTTTATCATCGGAGGTGTTGGTTTTCCTCTCGTCCTTGTGATGCCGGAGACGTATATGCCAGTTTTATCTCGGAAACACGAAAAGGCTTTGGGTCAAAGCCAAATCGACTCGGAAACAGCCAAACCTCACCTGCACGAACCCAAACTGTCGGATAACATTGGCGTCGTCCTCAGTCGTCCCTTCACCATGATCGTTCGGGAGCCGATTGTGTTCTGTTGTTCGATGTACTTAGCTTTGATCTACTCCATATTGTATTTGTTTTTCCAAGCATATCCCATCGTTTTCCAAGGTACGTACATCTTCATGGTCGAACCTTTCAGAAATTGTCGCTAACTGCAGTCTGTCTCCAGGGTTATACGGGATGTCACCAGGCGTGGCAGGTTTAGCCTTTCTTCCAAGTACGTCACATCAACCACCCACATTCCATAAGATGCAAACCCTAACAGTATCTACAGTTCTGCCGGGGTCAATCCTTGCATTTGTGCTTTTCTGTCTGTACAGCTCGTATCACAGCAAGGCCTTGAAAAACGGCTTAGCATGGGCGAAAGTGGAAGAGTATCGCCGTCTACCACTCGCCTGTGTCGCAGCGCCAGCAATTCCCATTGCGCTCTTCTGGCTCGGATGGTCGTCAAGGTCTTCTATTCACCCTGTCATGCCCATGATGTCTGGCGTTTTCTTCGGATTCGGCTATCTTTTGATCTTCATCGCGCTTCTTAATTACCTCACCGATGCTTACAAGCAGTATTCGGCATCAGCATCGGCAGCGGCAAGTACATTACGGTCCATCTTTGCCGTGTGTCTTCCCTTGGCCACTACACCCATGTACACCAAATTAGGTATTGACTGGGCTAGCTCGTTATTGGGATTCTTTGCCATAGCGATGGCTGTCATACCTTTTGTGTTCATCAAGTATGGAAGTTGGATCCGTGAAAACAGCAAATTCGCCCAAAGAGCGGCGCAGGGATATACTACCTCATGAAGGGATGAAAAGGTTCACGAGTAACGAATATTTGGGCATTTAGCGCTTAGACATAGACTAAAAGTTTGCTTTGTTGAGATAAATCATAGTTCGGAAATGAAATTAATTATATAATCAATTCAACCCACTTTTCTTCTAAAGTTAGCGGCGAAAGAAATGCTCTTTTTATTACAAACACGCTAGGACCAGGAACCCAACACATCCCACAGCCCCTATCGAGTAGCCCGGCAAGTGGTTACGGAGTAAGACCTTTTGAAAAAGGACCCACGAAGGCATGGACCATCATCCCCTCCCCCACAGACCGGAATCCCCAAGCTTGTCAGCCGTTGGAACGTTGGGTCCTCTAGATACAAGCACCCGTCGTACGTCTAGCGCCGTGTCTTTAATTCTTGAGTTAACAGGGTTTTGCTAGTGGTTGACCCGTTTGATTTATTGGGAGGTCCCGCCCAAACCGATCTATTTGACACCGTTGATGCTTCCATTGCCCCTCCAGAGGATGTGCATCCAGAGCCTGATCCTTATCCTATCTTTACAAATGGAGAGTTATTGTTTCCTCATGGAGACATCGTGAATTACACATTCTCTAGTGCTCTTGACCCCACTGCGCCTTATCCTTCCGATGGGACCTCTGCTAGTCAGTCTGTGCCGCTAAATGGCGAAACTAGCTGCTTTACAGAAGACTACATCCATGGCGACAGTTATACAGCTACATGCCCTAAGGTTCCTTCACCATCCACAACAACTGGAAACGGGAGGGGGCTACTACAGACCCGACAGGTACCATTCAATATTGATTTTCTGGAAAGGCAACGAAGTCTCCGCCGCCGCAGGAGCAAATACATGATCAACAAGCATGAAAAACAGGCTGTGCCGATGTTCATCCCGACGAGTACCAGCTCCCCAGACCCCCTCAAGCGCTGGCAGGAATCCCCCCCAGAAGACGAACCCGCTCCGTTGTCTGCCATCAGGGATGCACTTCAGCATTCGTGGTCCAAACGGCCAGCAAACCAAGGCTTCATGGCAGCTGAGCATCAGCAAGGCATCTCCGATCCCGGATTTGTCGACGCTTTCCAAATATACCGTCAATCAGGATCCCGAGCCGCTTCGACCACCAGTGCTGAGAGTGGTGTGACTGCTTCCTCTATACAATCAGCTCGCTCTGGCAGGTCAAGTGGCAGCCACGAATCCTCTCGGAACAAGACCAACGATCGTGTTAGAAAGACAAAGCCTCGTGGGAAGAAAGACAAATCAGCCACAAAAGATAGTCCTCGATTATTCTGCTGCACATTTTGTTGCGATCGATTCAAGAGCAAGTATGATTGGATGCGACACGAGAAGTCTCTTCACTTAAATCTCGAAACCTGGGTATGCACGCCATTTGGTGGTGCAGTGGTGCTGCCATCAACAGGCCGAGTACACTGTGCCTATTGTAGCATATTGGATCCCACGGCTGAGCATCTCACACAACACAATCATGGGGCTTGTGACGGTCAACAACGCAAGTTTCGACGCAAAGACCACCTGGTTCAACATCTCCGCCTTGTTCATCGCATCGATACGCTTCCGATCATCAGTGACTGGAAAGTGGAAGCCACCAGCTTCACTTCTCGTTGTGGCTTCTGCACTCGCCAGATGACGACGTGGTCTCAAAGATGCGACCATTTAGCATTGCATTTTCGCAATGGCTCGACAATGGCCGACTGGCAAGGAGATCATGGATTTCCCGAATCGATTGCAGCCCAAATTACCCATGCCGTGCCTCCCTATTTGATTGACCTCGAGTCACGCACCATGGTTCCCTTCTCCGCTACTAATAGTCATGCTAAGGATCATTTCTCTCAGATGTTGTCCCGGGCTGCTTTTCAGAGTGATACCAATGTTGGCGGTGGTGATCACCAGGAAAGGTCAGAGTTACCTGATTTATTAGATCACCTCCAGGTGCAGGACAATGGGTTTAATTCGTACACGCAAGTTCTGACTCGTCACTTGAGCCACTATGCAGAGGAGCAGACACGCCTCGGTATTGTTCCTACTGATGAAATGTTCCAACGGGAAGCACGGCGTCTTATGTTTGATTCTGAGGATCCCTGGAATCAGACCATTGCAGACCATCCCCAATGGCTGGCTGCATTTCGAGAAGAACAGGGCTCCTCCACGGCCTGACCAGTTCGTGTTCGCATCCTCCTCATTTGAATCGTTCCTGATGCAACAGACGCTGAACTGTATTTCTGAAACCATTCGGTCTCTTCCAAACAGGATATACACTAGCCACACTCCCTAATTTCGTATTTATCTAGCCAGACCCTAACATGTCTCACTCAATTGTATATTTTCATACATTACCCTCAACTTAAAACCCACAAGGTACCATAATCAGTAACTATTGAAGTATGCCATGCAAATACGCATCTTGGCAATCCCCGATGAGTCATTCTCACGACCCCTTCACCGAAATGCTCTAGGCTTCCAACAGAAGACGAAGAAAGACTTGGAAAAACCCCTACTTGGGCGTTTATCGCTGGACATTTATTGGAGGATAACTTAATGACTCTTGCAAGCCCGCTTACTCCGCATTTCGGACTGGTCTCGCAACTCCCCGGATGGAAGAAGTGGGTCAAAGTCACTCAGGCTCTTGAGGGCGTGTATACACGCCCTACATCCTTGGGCCCACATAAATGTGGGCCCGCATTCTATCTACACAACTCGTATATGCCTTAGTTCTATGTGACCTCGTAACTGGGATATCCTGAGTTGTAGTCAAATCCTTGCTATCTTGGCGCCGGATGACGAGCTATAAATATGTGATCCTGCATTACCGGGGGGAGTGTCAATTCCTCTCAAGTGTACAGCTCCCAAGCATCCCTAATAACTACAACTACTACACATCATGGCTCCCTCCACCATTGAGTCGCAGAATACCAAACCTGAAGCCCCCGCCTTCCCCGAGAAACAGACCGTCCAGCCCCTTGACGCCTCCAAACTGACCTATACCTATACTACCAATCCTCGCGATGTTCCCGACGAAGCAACAGCCAATTCCGGCGACGAGACCATCTGCACCGACCACATGGTCGTCGCAACCTGGAAAGCCTCCACAGGCTGGTCAGACCCAGAACTGAAGCCCTACGGTCCATTGAATCTCATGCCCACAGCCTCCTGCTTACACTATGCCACCGAATGCTTCGAGGGACTCAAGGTATACCGCGGCTACGACGGTAAGCTCCGGGTCTTCCGCCCAGATCGCAACGCCGCCCGTCTGAATATGTCCGCGAGTCGTATCTCCCTGCCACAAGCCGATCCCGACGAGATAACAAAGCTCATCTACGCCCTCCTCGAGGTCGATGGCGCGAAATGGCTCCCTAAGGAGAGAGCCGGAAGCTTCTTGTACTTGAGACCGACACTCATCGGCACCCAGCCGACTATCGGTCTTGTGAAGTCTAAACAGGCGATCTTGTACATTATCTTGAGCTATATGCCCCGACAAGATACTCCGCCTGGTGGAATGAGGCTTCTAACTTCACCGGAAGATATGGTACGTTCTTGGGTGGGTGGATTCGGCTATGCCAAGGTTGGTGCGAATTATGGGCCGTCGGTACTTGCCACACAAGATGCTATGCAACGCGGCTTTCACCAAATCCTCTGGCTATACGGTGATCAGGGTGAGTGTACAGAGGCGGGTGGTAGTAATTTCTTTGTGGTCTGGCGCCGTAAGGATGGCAAGAAGGAGATTATCACGGCGCCGTTAGATGACCGTCTCATTCTGGATGGTGTTACCCGTCGCAGCTGCTTGGAGCTGGCAAAGGAAAGGCTCTGTGATGAGTTTGAAGTCACTGAGCGCAAGTACACTATCGGCGAGCTAATCGAGGCCGAGGCAGAAGGCCGACTGCTGGAGTCTTTTGCTGCGGGCACAGCGGTAAGTTGTTTTTCTCACTAGTTAGGTGTGATTAATAAATTGTTCGGGTGCTCACATTGATCTAGTGGTTTGTTACCCCTGTTTCGGCGATTCAGCACCGAAAGCATGATATAGCTATCCCTACAGGACCTGATGGTGGACCTGGGGAGGTCACTGATAAGATCAAGGGCTGGCTGAGCGACATTATGTATGGGCGTACAGAGCATGAGTGGGGCATTGTGGTGTCGGAGAGGGAATAGACGACGGGATGATGTTCTTTTTATTACACTACGAACTCAATATAGGTCACGCTTAACATACGATACACGGTTTTCCTTTTGTGTTTCCAAGCCTTTTGAGACTTATGTTGAAGACAGACAATATCTTGGGGGCTGTAGAACTGATATCTCGTCCTATGTATACCCTTAGATGAATGACGCTCAAACCGTGACAATCCTGGTTGAAGCGGAGAGTTGGAATGAAGCCCTAACTAAAGTCACGGCTGTCTGGTTCGTCCATTTCGAGAATTTGATCAAAGGTGGTTTGGTCCAAGGAATCTAGCCCAAGCTTGATGCCGTATTCCAGAAGGATTAGCGACTATGGGCTAGAGGTTGATTGGGATGCTTACCTAGGTTACTAGTTCCTCGAACTTAGTGTCTTCAATCGGGGCCATGGTGACGAAAGTATATTTGTTCTAAGGTTATTATTGAATGAGCGAGAGGGCAGGAGGTTGGGGGAAAGTTGAAACAGTAAAAGGTTCAGGTTGTTTAGCACTCTAATTACATTGCTAGAGAGTTTACGGAGTAAAATATAAATATAGCTTACTCAGTTTGATACAGCCAATTATTCCTGCCACTACGCATTGCTTTATAGATCTACTTATAGTTAGTTATAGGAGATATCCATTCACTAGATTCTGTATATTTATATAAATCTATTCAATCGTATGCAGGGCTGGTCTGACCAAATGCGGCTAGCGGCATATTGCTGCCTCAGGCGACGGGGCATGGCTGCTTGGCTTCCGGAGAACATGTGAAAGTCGAAATCTCCATCCGATAAAGGACCGCGAGGCTCTGGAATTACTCGACCCGAGCTGATTCTGGCCAGCGCCGCTTGCTGTCAGTCCCTCTCAACCGCACCCTGCAGTTGTTGCATCAGTCTAGGGGATGGCCACATGAAAAGTACTGTGATCGCAAGACAACATCGCCTTGAAACATGGAAAAATTCACTCAGTTCCGAGATCGAGGTGTGTGTGTGTGTGCATCTCGTGAAATCGCTGGCCCCCTGTAATCGGTCAGGCTAACGAGTAGTGGGACCGTCTAGGGTCGGGAATTGCGCCTTTCCTTCCTATTCCACCGCAACCCGCCGGCTTTCAGCTACCTTTACGCGTCTTCCTCTTCTTTTTCCGTCTTCCGCTGTTTATCTTCGTGTGTGTCAGCTACTTTCTCGTGCTACAATGGCTTCCGATTGGATCGCTAGGGAAGAAGGCATCTTTGTGGTGTATTCTCGGGGTGCCCAGCATATGGTGGATTGATCTTCAAGTGGACGGTGTGAGAAAAGGGTGAGTCGAGTGGAGGCTACGTCACCGAACATACAGGGCTAAGAACCGGTCCCAGATCCCTCTCGAAGCAACACCAAGCGCGTCTTCCAGGCCCGGGCTCCGTCATTGCCTCCTCGTTTACATCTCCCATCGACGCAGTCTACCTGGCCGCCATATTTGACCCGGTCTTCACCGCGTCCTACCCGAACTCGCGGAAGGTCGAACAGATCTCCCTCTTCCAGGCGATCCTGCGCACTTTCGCCACCCCGCAAGCCAGCCCACCCCCGAAAGCACGCTTGGTGGACCTTGCGACCTTAGTCAAGAAATACCCCGGGCGACCTGTTGTTACGTTCCCCGAATGCACGACCACCAACGCGCGGGGCATCCTGCCTCCCAGTCCTTCGCTGCTGAGCGTGGCCCCGAAGACTAAGATCTATCCTGTTAGCCTGCGGTACACCCCGGCTGACGTTGTGACGCCCCTTCCCGGGAGTTATGTGAGTTTCTTGTGGACGTTGCTCAGCAAACCCACGCACTGTATCCGGGTGCGCATTGCCGAAGGGGTGGTGAGTGGTATTGATGGAGATGGCGGTCCCACTACGCGGAAGTCTACGTATGACACCAACTATTTGGATACACTGGACAAGGATAGTGCGTATGGGTCCCTGGACACGGAGGATGTGGAGTTGACGCGGGCTGAGAGGGCCCTGTTGGACAATGTGGCAGATTCCCTGGCGCGTTTGGGGAGAGTCAAGCGGGTTGGCTTGGGCGTTCCGGAGAAGAAGGATTTTGTCCGAATGTGGACGAAGACCCGACGAACATGGTGATGAAATTGTATATTCTTAGATAGCATCATAGGGGGGATATATCCCCAGTAGGTTGAGTCTATACTAGCTTTCGAACCAACAAACAATGACTAGAACAAGGGAAAGAGAATGAAAACAGAAAACAGAAAACAGACCAGCGGGTGAGACAGCTGTCTCACCCTTGCCGGTGCGCCAACGAAGAAGCATATAGAGAGAGAGAGAGAGAGAGAGAGAGAGAGAGAGAGAGAGAGAGAGAGAGAGAGAGAGAGTGTGTGTGTGTGTGTGTGTGTGTGTGTGTGTGTGTGTGTGTGTGGACGAGAGAAGTTATTCTCGACCGACCGGATCTCTCCGACGACCCCTGCATGATAGCGCCAATAAAAGCTTGTAGACAATGCTCTCGACTAGTACTACCAATACTAAACAACGTGAAACAACTCATGCAAGACTAGGACTAGGGGTTACGCCATCACCTGACACTCTCAACACTGGTCACTACTAGTACTAGTAGTAGTAGTAGTAGTAGTAGTAGTAGTAACTATTATAAAGGACCTAAGGCAGCCCTAGTCTGCCCTTAAACAATGAAATTTGGCCCCCCACTCTCCGAGAGAAACGAGGCTGAGCTGCAGATCCAAAAAACCCCCCGCTAAATAAAACCCGCTACAAAACGACATTTTAATAAGCAAGCTCCGCCCCGTAAGGCTTAATTTCTACTCCCCGATTCACACTCCCATGGATTGATCCCTTGATGTGTCACCACACCACACAAATATTATGAAGAGGAAGACATAGCAAGCAGCCAAGATGGGGCTCAGACGTCGCAAAGAGAAACTACAACCAGCTCAAGGAGCATCTTCCGTAGGGCATACACGCTCCACCTCGTTGTACACCATCCCGACGGGAGCATCTACCGTACATTCTCTGTCCACGACATCAACAATCTATAGTCACGACAACAACACAACCACGTCGCTCAGTCTGTCCGGTACGACTCTTGTTACAGAGGGGTCGTCCATAGAGCCGTCTAGCCAATATGAAATTCAAGATTCAATCTCGCGGAAACAAAAAGCCAGACGCTCCCTCGCAAAATATGGGTCCTATGCGGATCTCTCTAATGCAATCTCTCAGACAAAGGCCAAGGCCAACGATTCCAAATTAAAGGCGCGGAGCTCTGTGATAAATCTTGAGCAACAGATGCGCGACTATGTGACGAATGTAACACACTCGAGTGTGGATCTTTATGGGACCATGCTGAGGAAGCTGGATCATATGATTACCTCTATGGATGAGGGATTGTTCAGAGATAAGGAGGACATGGGTATGTTTTTCCTTCGTCATCTTGAGTTTCTTGTGTGTCAGGCCTGCTTTTCATTCCCACTGCATGCTAAAATGGATATCTAGTCACGGCATACGGCGATGAGGTCTCATATACGAAGACAGGGACAGAGAGAGAGATGAAAGCGACATCAACCGGTCCTAGTTTCTTCTCAAAAGCCTACCTGTACCACAACTCCCGGCTCCCAGCTCACCTTCCTCCAGTGCAAATGTATGTATTACCCATGCACTCTATTTAGCAATACATGTGGAACCAAGCTTACAATATAGACTACCGCAATCATACGCCCTCATCCGCCTAGCAGCCCAGTACTCCAGCTCAGCCTACAAGAAACCCGTAGAACTCACTACGACCAATAACCCCTACGTGAGCGCCAACATCCGCCAAGGAACGAAGGCCATGGTAATCAAGCCACTCGCGTCAGACGATCTAAAGAGCATCGTCCTCGCAATCCGAGGCACCCAAAGCTTCCGCGACTGGACCGTGAACATGAAAACGCTTCCAACAGCCCCAGAGAACTTCCTCGACGACCCCGACAACCTCTGCCACGCGGGATTCCTCACCGTGGCCCAGAGAATGGTCCCTTCCGTCGCAGCTTATCTCCGCGATCTACTAACCGAAGACCCAAATCGCGCGTCTTATTCGCTTACCCTGACGGGTCATTCTGCCGGCGGAGCAGTGGCCAGTCTGCTATACTGCCATTTGCTCTCAACGAGCGTGTCGTCTGAACTGAAGCACCTGGCTAGTTTCTTCGGAAGCATCCATTGCGTGACATTCGGTGCACCGCCAGTCTCCATTAGACCTCTGTTCCCAACCAAGTCGCCGGAGTCGCTGGAATCGATGTTCTATGCGTTCATTAACGAAGGCGACCCCGTGCCCCGGGCCGAGAAACCCTATATCACCTCATTGCTGAATCTTTACATGTCACCGGCGCCGTTCTCTCTCGGCACAAGTCGAACATATCCCTTCGTCAGCAGGCAAAATAAACCCGCTATCTGGCGTGTGCCACCGGCTACACTCCATCTTGCTGGGAACGTAGTCCTCCTGCGACACCAATCCCAAGATCTTCTCCTCAACTCCCCGCATGGCGCAAACACTGTCCAGAAAGATGAAATCGAGGCCTGCCAAATCCCCAACGAAATCATGCATGATGTCATCTTCGGGGACCCCGTAAAACACTGGATGGGCCTGTATCAAGAAAGAATCGAGCACCTCACCCGCAGATCACAACAGCCACCACCTTATCAGCCTTAATGCAGCAAGATCCCATTCTAAACAAATACATCATAAATCTATATCTTTATCTAGATTTATATCTAGATCTACAATTCCCCAACCCACTCTCCAGAGCCTTCTCTCATCCCGTAATACAACCGTAAACAATGATCCCAGAAAATCTACTCGCAGTTGTGGAACATCGAATCCGGTATAGCGCCCATCCTCAAACTTGACATCGCATTATTCATTTTTCACCCGCGGCTACGGGATACCGTCTCTTGTCTTGGACAATGCGTAGACTTCCAAAGCTGTAAGTCAAGCGAAATTAACAGTCAATCTGGAACTCGGGTTGGCCCAGCAATAATACTCTCACTGTAGAACGTGAAGACACTGCCGATTCTACTCAGTAAGCTGCAAGATTGACTCAAAAAATATGCGACACCTCGAGGGTTATTAGCAAGAGCCTGTGTGGGTTCGTTAATCCTCTCAGCACCATATTGATGCGGCTTTCAGCTTGCCACAGTTCACCGAAAAATGGATTGTGATATAGGATACTGGGAATACCCGACTTCACCCAGTTTCCATGAACCCCACTGTCGATCATTGTCTCGGCATATTGGTTCATTGGAATTCCCCGCCAGGCTCAAGCCTATGTACACAGTAGTCTTAGGCGATCATACCTGATAGGGCAGAAATTCCGACGTCCATGTATAAAGACAAATTGTAAATTCTTCTTGTATGATATTCTATATCAACCGGCGGTGACAAGGTTTTCAAACACATATACAGACTAAGTGAGCCGAAGTGGGGGATTAAAAGAATTGAGAGACCGCCCTTACCCCCCCCCCCCCCTCTCCTTCCCCAACCCCGTATAACTCCTATATACTCTATCCTTCGTAATTATAACTATGTAGGTCAGGGCGGCACGAAGAGGGGTCGGGTGCTTGCCTTTGGTTCAGTGCCATAACATTTCTGCAGCCGAAGCGAGGTTATTTTCAGCTGCGGCTGAGGTGGGGTTATTTTCAGCTCAGACAGATTTAAGGTCTGAACTAGGGCTCGCCCAAAGTATGGCTTTGTCACTATCCCATCCCACTATAAATAACGATTGGAATCCTCTAGGTTGATTATCAGTTTGCCAAGTCGCTAATCTATCTTTTTACAGTTCCAAAATCCGAGAACTTTTGCTTTTTTGAACTATGGCGGGTATGCTATCTGCTTTCCATGATACATAAACTTTTTGCTTCTGCCTACAAGTTTTGCTTTAGGCTAAAAGAAATGAAACTTACCTTCTATCTCTGTAATTGAAAAGGCTATATACTAATTCATTGGCCAAAATTCCAGCTTCTGAAGATGTTGCTGCTATTGTCATCGATAATGGGTACTCGAAACACAATTTCCTCTATCTCTAAAATCGACCCCTCTACATTCTCCTTTATTTTCGCCAATATTGAACGCAACATGGCAGGCTGATTTGATCTAATTAGGACGATGTATACCAAGGCCGGGTTTGCTGGTGATAACTGCCCGCGCACTGTTTTTCGTGAGTTTGTCTTGAAGACTTTTGCCTAATGCAATGCTAAGTTTATATGGATAGCCACAATTGTGGGCCACGAAGGGTAGTAGTGCCTATTGTTTCCCCACCCAGTATGATTGAATGAGACGGACTAAAATATATATGGCATACTTTTAGATTCGAGAACAGTTCATACATTGGTGATGATGCCCTAGCAAATAGTGGGATGTTGTCCCTTACCAACCCCATCGAGCGTGGATTGATAACCAACTGGGATGACATGGAGAAGATCTGGAGCCACGCCTTTGCCAACGAACTTCAAGTAGCTCCAGAAGAGCAACCGGTTCTCTTGACCGAGCACCCGCTTAACCCAAAGATTAACCGAGAGAAGACGACGCAGATTATGTTTGAAACTTTCCACGTCCCGGCATATTATCTGGGTATCAACGCTGTCTTAGCTTTGTACGCGACCGGTCGTACGACTGGCCTGTCTGTTGATTGTGGCCATGGCTCGACGGATTTTGTCCCAGTTTATGAGGGGACTGCATTATCTCATTCAATTCTTCGGATGGATGTCGGCGGAGACGAGGTCACAAGATACCTCATGAATACATTGGGTAGAGATTCTTTCAGTCCTGAGATATTCCAGGACATGAAAGAGAAACACTGCTATGTTGCGCTTGATATTGAAGAGGAGCCGAAGCGTGATATTAAGCATCGCTATGAGCTTCCTGATGGGCAGATCATCGAAATGGGAGCTGAGATATTTCAGGCACCGGAAGTCCTCTTTCAGCCTTTTAAGATGGGACCTGAAACCCATGGCATTCATGAATTGGCATATAATTCAATCTTTAAATGCGATCTTGATATT